TGAACAAGCATCTTAAAATAGAAAAAATACCTAAAAAAAAAAAAACAAACCAAAAAACCAAACAAACCACATTCCAGGCTAGGAATTAAATAATCCCAGAGGCTGCTAATTTCAGATTGACCTACCAGTGTATTCAAGCTCTCTTTGGAAGAGTTGCTATAGAGAATGAGAAATCCGTTCGCTGTTTCCAGACAGACTCTGGTCTCTCCCCGGGACTGTGACGAAGAGTCACAGCTGTGGTTAAAAGAGCCAGGGACATTCACCTCTGTATCCTGCCCAGACTGCTGAGCTCTTGCTGGAGGGCAAACTAAGGCTTCTGCTCCCCGGATTGGAGCAGACCTCATGAGCTGATTTCCCAGCTCTTCAGCATATGCCAAGAAACCCCATCCTCCTCTTGCAGGTATGGCTCTGAGCAGAATGAGAGTGAGATACGAGTAAAATGATCAAGCAAAGATGAACAAACCATCTGCAAATGGAATACTCTCATGCTGACCATCTTCCACAACAAGGTCCAATGGTCAGTATTTGGTTTGTGATTCATTTCATGGTCAAATTTATCTGGGGCAGAAGCCAACCACAAGGTTTCAGTTTTGGGTTTGCTATGAATTTGGCCCAGCATTCCTAGTATAAAACATCAAGCTTCACAAGCTTGTTGAGATCCTTCAGGGATCTTGTTTAAAGGTCTACTCTTACCTACCCGCTGCATTTCAGGCGCTTACAGGTAGGGATGCTGCCTTTAAATGTGATGTGCCTCAGCCTTTTAGTGCTTTTATCCCCACAGTCTTAAAAAGGCATGACTCCTTTGTCATGTACATGTGGGTGTTTGTTTCTTTAATTCTAATTTCTTCCAGATAATTCATGAAATATTATTTGTAAACCATTTTTATGATGGGTTAAAAAGTAATCTCTGCCAGGACTTTGATAAGCAGGGTGAAGAGTGATCTCTCTTAATTACAGTGTTCACAATTAGTTCTTCATTTTAATGATCTGTGTTAGTATCCAAATTCTATAGCACCACAAGGCCATGAGTGATCTTATTTTCACTCTTCATTTGGCAATGGAAGAAAATGACTGTTGTTACTGCTGTTAGGGCTGTCATATTTCATAATAATACAGAGATACCCTAATTTAAAAGGCTCATAATGGCTCCTCTGCCAGGAACAACCAAGTAGATTTTAACCTGTCACCTTGAAAATGGATAGCTGAAGGAGGGTGTGACAGAAGTCTGCATAGGGAAGGTCGGTAGTCATCAACTATTTGTTTTGTCCTCTGATAAAAGAACCAGGATATATGAAATGAAACTAGTGGGATCCAAGTTCAAAGCAATGAGAAAGAGGTGATTCTTCACACCGTGAGCAGATGTGTGGAGCTTGTTGCCAAGCAATGTTGAAGTCTGCATCAGTGAGTGAAAGGTTGCACTAGTACATGGACCAGAAACCCGTTGATGGCTAGTTAATACAGATACATAGCTCAGAAACTCCCTTGAGCTGGAAATACTTGAAAGGTAGAAGAGTATTATGGGAAAGTGTCATATATACTTACTCTGCTCTTGCTGTTACCTAAGCATCCCTTTATGGCCACAGGTGGGGATAGCCTACTGGCTAGAGGTCTGACTGCCAATGGCTAAGTGTTTAAAACTGGTGTGCTGAGAACTTCAAAAACTTGGTACACAGAAATCCTGACTCTTACAGGAGTGCTTTGCACCTTTGGGGTTCAGAAGGAAAGCAGTCTTGTTTGCAGTAATTTTATCAGTTAATAGGAATTTTACCAATTCCCGCTCCTGATTAGGATGAGGAAACTGCCAGAACAGCTTCTAGAGCAGTATTGTAGCTGAAACTAAAGTTGGCAAAAGATTCAGAAAACTAAGGTGTTGGACAACCTTTTCTGAACCTCCTAAGAGAGACTTGTTCAACTCAGCATGGGTAGAAGCAGAGACTGGGGTATTTGGACTGATTGGTTTAACGGTACAAAGCTTGCTCAGTCAATCTCAGTATGGGGTGAGCAAGTGGAACTGTAACACACCATTGCTGAATGTCTGCAGTCAGTGTAAAACACATAAGGAGACCATGCATGCTTCAAGACAGTCAGAAACACAGTTCCTTTGTAAAAAGATTTGAGATGAAATGTTCTGATGCTGCAAGTAAGGGTAAGGGTGTTGGTGCTGCTTACATGCAGGATCCAGACTTTCTTCTGGACTATGTGGAAGAAGATCAAGGTTCAAAAGAGCTACAGGGGTTAACACATGCTTTATTCTGAGGATTGAGCTAAATTAGTTATTCTTGCCATTGAAAGACACAACATCCCCACTAAGAATGTTAGTGTAGTTTTGTTCAGATTATAGTTTTAGGAGTCAATTGTCTTGAAGTGATTGTGATACCTGGATGAAGAAGGCCAGGGAGGCTTGTATGCATTGTGTGATGAGCACAAGTCTGGATTTCCAAGAGGCTTTCTAAGCAGCCATATCATGAAGGGAAAGGTTTCTTTGTGGATAAATAACTGGTCAGAAGGTGAGAAACAGAAAGCAGGAGAGACTGATCAGTTCCATAAGGTTTTTTGCCAAGTGTTCAGAAGACAGAAGTGAATCAAATGTGGGGCAGTACTGAGGGAGGAGTAAAGGAGGGAGTTAGGACCTCTGACCGCGTATGAATCTGTGGCTGCCAAGTGTTTTGAAGACTATGCAGGTTTGGTTCCCTCATCTCCAAAAGATGTAGTTGGGAACTGGATGCAGTTCAGAGATAGACCCTGGTATAATCTCGCACAGACACTTCTCTCTTCCTATCTTGGTGTGTGGCTTTCAGACTGACACTCTACCATGAGAAGCATATTGATATGCATGAGCTTGACAGGTGGGAGAAGGAAGAATCAGTGGATCAGCATACACAGCTTCAGAGCTGAGGCTCTGATGAACACGTGCTGTTTCTGGCTTCTTCAGTGTCATCTGTGGTTGTGTTCCATGTCAGAGGACTTAGTCACAGCCTTATTTGCTGAAAATAGTATTTTCAGCACTATTTCTGCAAAATAACTGTGATATTTTTAGTTTTTTGAAGTGAGTTCAGAACAATGAGATGTTGGGTTGTTTTTTTCAAAGAGATTTAACGTATATTTTGCACAACGGGATTAATGATGTTCCAGCTACTGCATTATATATACATCTTCCTAAAATAAGAAGTGCTGGAAATGCTTTTCAGCTCTATGCAGGTGCAATGAACTTCAGTGAATTTGTGTTTTTATTGTAAGTGAAGTGCCAGAGGCAGAATTTTCTGTCATTAATTACAGAAAAGCAGATACAGTCTGTCAGGTCAAAGTTTGTGTCTAACAGACTATTTAACTTCCTATAACTTATATGTATCTTCTTTTTGTTCTGCCTATCTCACACTGCTTTTTTATTTGGCATCACTGTTTAAAATCTCTCTTATGTCAGTAGATGTAATTATAGAGCTGAAATGTGTGTTGATGTAAGCTGTGCTACATGCTCCCACTGTTGTGTTTGTCTTTATGGTAAAGCTCTTTTCAATACATTCATTTTTACACATTTGTTATGTTGAACACAGCAGGGTACTGCCATTGCTTTTGCCTTGAGTGCGTGAGGGACGTGCAAGAATCTCCAGTAAATTGTATCTGTTGTGTGTGTTAAGCCTTGCAGATACGCAGGAGGTTATCCTTTGAGTGGCAACTGAAGTCCACTCCAGAGGTTAAGATATATCCTGTGTCTGGTTGTGTACACACAATTTAGGTGGCATTGAGAGGTCTTATTTAAAAGACGTATTAAGGCAAGGGCTCAAACCGCATTAACAGCAGTAACAATGCAATTGCTTCAGAGTCACAAAGAAGCAGGAACTCCTAAAGCCTTTAATGAATATCTGGTTGTAAAGAAGGTGGGAGGAACGTGATAGCTTTCCCTGGACGTGCTGGTTTATTATCTGATAGTGGTGTATGCTTTGTCAAGCATGGTGAAATGGCTGATGTTGCACTTCAGTGTAAATTGTAGCTGCTGAAGTAGTAACTCCAGCCTCTTGCATAACTGAAATACGCCAGGATAGTCTTGCAGGATACAACTTTAAGGACACTGTTTTCTTTAGGCCTCATGTCTTTCATTTAAGCTTATTATTTTGGGGCTCAGTTCTGTTATTAAGAAGCCACAGCTGAGGATGAGTTAACTGTGCAGAACCTCCTCTGATTATTCAGTTGCTCCCTTCATCTCACAGTGCTGTATTAGCAGTTGGCTCTGTCCTCCTTCCGCTTACAGGGGTGTCACTTTCCCAAGAACTGTCATAACAAGACTAATAATCTACAAATACATGGCAGAGGTTTATTCACTTGTTATGCTTCTTATAGACTATGCTGTGGGTTAAATAAAGTGTGAAATTCTTTTTCTCATAGGATGATGATAGATTCATGCCCACTGAAGTACTATTTTGATACAGTATTTTAAAGGCTTGTGGCAGGAAATCACCTTGTTCTGTAGATGGCACTCTGTGCTTTGAGTTGACACTTAAGCAACCAATAAAGTGCTAAAGGAGTTTGTTTGATCTGTTATAGAATCACAGTCTGGTTTGGGTTGGAAAGGACCTTAAGATCATCCAGTTCCAACCCCTGGCCATGGGCAGGGACACCTCTCACTAGAGCAGGTTGCTTCAAGCCCTATCCAACCTGGCCTTGAACACTGCCAGAGATGGGGCAGCCACAGCTTCTCTGGGCACCCTGTGCCAGCGCCTCAGCACCCTTCACCTTCACCTTTGGAGAGCGCGGTGGGACCCGGCATCCTGTGCAGCCTTTCCCTTTGATCGGGATGTCTTTGCTGTTCCCCCGCCTGCGCCTCCCCACGGCCGTTCTATTGCGGGTTTCTCTCGGATCCGATGTATTTCGTACCGCCACGATCCCCGGTACCGCGCAGCGCTCGGTCCCGGCGGCTGTAGAGAGGAGGGGCGGGCGCCCATGTCCGTCCCCTCGGGGCTGGGCGGCGGGCGGGGCGTAGCTCTGCGGGCGGCTGCGTTAAGGGCTGGGGCGGCCGCACTTGTTGCGGGAGGGTGGTGGTTGCTGTGTTCGGCGGCGGGGCATGCCTCGGAGTTAGCGCGGAGAGGGGTGCCGAGGGAGGGAGGGGGCCGGCTATAGGCCTGGCCATGGGGCGGTACTCGGGGAAGACGTGCCGCCTCATCTTCATGCTGGTGCTTACCACCGGCTTCTTCGTGGCCGAGCTGGTGTCGGGCTACCTGGGCAACTCCATCGCGCTGGTGTCCGACTCCTTCAACATGCTCTCGGACCTCATCTCCCTCTGCGTCGGTCTCTCCACGGGGCGCATCGCCCGCCGCAGCCGCCGCGGCCCCCGCGCCACTTACGGCTACAGCCGCGCTGAGGCGGTGGGGGCCCTCAGCAACGCCGTGTTCCTCACCGCGCTCTGCTTCACCATTTCCGTCGAGGCCATCCTGCGCCTCGCCCGGCCGGAGCCCATCGACGACGCGCAGCTGGTGCTCATCGTCGGCACCCTCGGCCTCGCCGTTAACCTGGTGGGGCTCCTCGTCTTCCAGGACTGGGGCGTCTGCTGCCGCCGCCGCCCGCCAGCCGCCGTGCCCGCTCCGGCCGTGCCCAGCGGTGCCCCAGCCGGGGAGGCCGATGAAGCAGGTGCCTTTCGGCTGCAGCCTCGCCGTCCAGGCTTCCCCTTATGTCCTGCTTCCCACCCTTCCACAGCCCTCCCGTGCCCTTTCTCCTGCCTCTTTTCCATTGGGAGGTGTTGGATTCATCCCTAACCCTTCCGAGCCCACCCATAGGCCCTGGGGAGGGTCCCAAAGACACTCAGACGCTGTGTCTGTCACTCACTCACGCACCCGCTGCCTCTTTCACCTTGTACTTTACACCGGGCCGCCGGGGGGAGGGAAGGAGGTGGTGCTGCTCAGATTGCTGCGTGGAGAATGGTTTGGCTTGTTTTGTTGTCTGTGTTTTTATTTCTCTTCTGGTCGTCTTTGAAATAAGTTGGTTTTGAGAAGGTTGGTGTTTTTTCTGTTTGTAGAACTTATACACAACACAGCGTTTCTTCTTTGAATGCAGGTGATTCACCCAATGACCAAAAAAGCCCTGAGGAAGGGTCTGAGAAGAAAAAAGAAAAGAAGTCTGAAGCCTTGAACATCAGAGGTACAGCATGGGAGTATACTGCTAATATTATCATTAACTTTAAAACAGTTTCTGATTTCCATTTCAGGTTTCTATTTACTTTTACCAAATATCAGTAATAAATAGAGCAAAAGCCCAGGGCTTTTCTATGTATGTAGACCCAGTTATCTTTAGCAGAAAGGTTTTGGTTGTATGAAATAGCATAGATAATAACAAAACAGTGTGGTGCTGATTTGGCTGTGAGTGTGCTCACGTCTTGATTTTCATTATTTAGAAGAGTGCAGCTGAGCCTCTTGGAAAGGAGGCAAAGCTCAAGTCACTAGTGGCTTTACGGGAAGGTGAGCCAGGTAGCTGTGAGGTGCTTTGTTGGGTTTCACTGCTGTAGCAGTTGAGCAGTTTTCAGCTTTCAAATACTTTAGGGCAGGAAATGGAACTTCTTTAAATCCCCAGGTTTTGTTGTCAGCACGAGGAAAAAAGGTGCTGGAAGTGGTGCTCCAGCACAGTATTTTTTGGGGTCCTTCAACTGTGAACTTCTCCCTGAGAGAGTATGTAGTAGGATTAACCCTTCTTATGTTGTAATTGGTCAGGTCTCTGGATATCTGTGGAGAGAATTGGCATAGCTGCTTCTAGGGAGAAATAAACCAAGTGTCTCTCTCTGTATAGGCATTTATAATGTATACACATTTAAATACCTACTCTAAGCTGAGATAAAAACAGATATCTTTGACTGTATTACACATGGAGTTTGTCTCCAAGGACAGGGCTTTTGGAAAGCTGAAGCAGAATGATAGTTTCAGGTTGCTGAGGTTGCTTATCAGCATCTGATATTCCTTCAAAGTCCTGTAAGTTGGCATCGTGTGAATTCAGCTCAAGAGGTCAATGGCAGGCAGGCACTTGTTGTTTGGTTGGGTTTTCTGTGTGTCTGTCCACCTGTCTTTCAGGGAAGACCCTTTGGAAATCAAACCATGTGCTACAGCCACAGCACTTTCCTGAATGTCTAGAGATTGGTGTCACTGGATATTATGGCATTATAGTGGCAAGGGTATTGGAACAGGTAAAGGAAACTGTCACTTTCAGGTATGGAGGAGGAAAGAATAAGGAACCAGTGAGTGTATTTGAGAGAAGGCCTTACTTGCCTGAATGACAGTGCTTAGCATACAGATGCTGGAAGCTTTGAAAGGTGTCTGAAGGATAAAGAGTTTTGAGTCAGTTATTTTAAGATACTTATCACCTTTGGTTTTTAGAAAGAGACTTTTTTTCTCTAAGTGCTACTTCAGTGTGTTGTCTTTGCAAAGTCTTTGTATTGTCCTTACAAATGTTCCTTGATACAGAAATTCAAAATCTAGGTTTTTTTTCCTTTGAGATTAGTTGCACAGCCATGATCACTTGGCAAAATTCCTGCGTGTTACAGAACCTGAGCCTCCCTGAAAAACATGGCTGGAGAAAATGGATTTTGAAAGTAGTAGGAACAGGGATCCATACATTCTGCCCAACAGTACTAATTACTGTAGTATAAAATTATTCTTTTTATTTCCTGAGCATATGCGGAGTAGTTCAGACTTTCTAACACAAGCTGTTGGAAACTGTGCATTACTATCATCCTACCAGACTGGCTTTATTAAATAAAGCATAATTTTCAGTTCTATCTAATAACCAGAACTTTAGGAGATCAATAGGGAAATAATTTCTGTCTAGGCCCTCATTATGTGATGTGCAACTAAGTTGTACATCTTAATAATGTGAATAATGTAAAATAATTCTCCAAATTCTGTATTCTCAATTCATAATTTATCAAAATTCTGACACATTTTGCGTTATTCTTCATTCAAAAGAAGACTTTCTGAAGCGTTTTCCTGTTCTTTTTAAGCTGTGCTCTCCAGTTGGTTTCCTTGGCAATTGCATCCTGCCTGTCCCTTTTGTTCCTGCAATAGCTGATAGCCTGTGCTGAATCAGGATTATTTGTAAATAAAAAGGGAACACTGCAACACTGTTAGGAGGAGTAAAGCTTTATGGGAGTCTGCCAGAAAGGGCAGAACATGCCTGACTCCAGCAGAAAGAGCTGGACTCACTGGAAGCTTTTACTTTTCTTATCTGACCCCAGTGATTCAGAGGAACTCCAGGGTTATTGCCTTTATTTATCACACAGAAGATCAGTGTTCATGCACAGAGCTGGCAAGAAACAACAGCACAGGCAAAGCTGTAGGTTTAATCCAGTGACTAACATCACCAAACAGCCAAAACTCTTCACTGTGTTGTTAATGAGTTTGGGAGGGAGCCTTTTGCAGATTCTCCAGCCCAGAGGAAGTGATTCCAATAGACTTAAATTCTTGACAGTGCTTGTCATAAGGATGTTGAAAGGAGATAGTCCACTGAATTCTCTCACAGGCTTACAGTAAGAATTATTGGCAAAGAAATGAACTTAATATATTGAGAGATGTTATGAATTAGGCATGGGTTGAATGAACCCGAGTCTAAGTAGTAAAGACTGACAAAACTAGAATGCATTTGAGGGAAAATGATGTAAAGTAGTAAGAAGAAAAAAGTTCTTGGGTTATTGTGACTTTATAGCAAGAAGACTTACTTCAGTTGTCATAGTTGAAAGGGCAGCTAAAAATGTATTATTACAGGAGCCTGTTTTGTGTCTTTAGTGGAAAAACATATCTATAGATGTAAAAAGTGGTACCCAGCATTCCTCTCAATTTAGAATAGTCCAGACACGTATTAACCTGTATTGTCCATGTGACTGACTGTTAAACCCAATTCCGATTTCCTGGGGGGCTTTGAGGGCTAGTAGTGTTGGTAGGACAAGGTTTAGTATGCCTAGTAATCAAGCTTGATCTCAAAATCGGTGTTTGAGGGCATTTGAAGCCATAAGAGTGAGCTTAGTTTTCACGTTAGGTAACATTCCAGGTTTCTGTAGTGTCATAGAAGCTGATGGAGGAGAATAAATATTACTGGGAGTGGTCTGTGGCTCTCTCAGCTTCCAGGGTAGAATGGATATATTTAGTCATCAATTTTTAATTGAGAAATGAGGTTTAATGTGCCAGGATCTTTTAATAATCTGCAGGCATTTAAGCCAACACTTTCTATGTTGCCATGGCATTGCAGTTGGACCGCAGTGCTAGCATACCCTACATGTTTAATAATGCATCCCACTTAAGCAGCTGGGGTTCAGTCAGTATTTCCCTGCTGTTTTGTCCTGAAAGCTGTTACTGAAAGTATCACTTAAGATACTAATGCCTGGAAAATTGCTTTTTTTACATGTCAAATGGAACAGACTTGAAAAATGCAGCATTGCTGTACTTCCCCCCCAAAAAAAAACCAAATCCCTAACCCCCACTAATGGAAGTTGTACCATCTGTTTCAGGTGTTCTTTTGCATGTTATGGGAGATGCACTTGGATCTGTGGTTGTGGTAGTTGCTGCTACAATCTTCCATGTACTTCCTCTGGGGGATGCTCCGTGTAACTGGCAGTGCTACATTGATCCAAGCCTCACAATAATTATGGTGGTCATCATTTTGTCTTCTGCATTCCCACTTATCAAGGAGACCTCAACTATTTTGTTGCAGATGGTTCCCAAAGGTGTTAATATGCAACTACTGAGTAAGTCAAAGTTGTTGCTATTCATTCTAATGATATATTTCAATGCATAGGTTATTTCTGGAATGACATGTTTGGATTATTTACTCATAACGGCTCTAAATTCTCAAGAACAGTGAGAAATAGTCACATGCCTGTGTCCTAGCAACATGACTCAAATCTCTCTGGATTAGTTAAAGCATGCATTTTGAGAATGTGGTACTCTAACAGTACATCAAAAGTACCAGGTCTTGAGCTGTTAATGCTTTGTGTGGGGTGTTTGTGAAAGACATGACATTGAATTGCAGTATCTCCCAAACCTTCTTCTGAGAGGCTTCCGAAACAGCTTGGAAATTTCCATTAAGGCTGGTTAATTTTGTAGCTCTCTGGCATATTTCACACTAGTTAATTGTGGGGTAGCAGTGGTTATTGCTGGAATTCCACCATGCTTGGGGCTAAGGAAACCAGAAGATGTGGGATCTTGGCCAAGGAAGTGGTGCTCTATCATTGCTTCTGTGTAAATTGCCATAAAGGATTTTGAGGGATGGGTGAACCCAGAAGGAAGGGTGACTTGCTTGTGTGGCCATCTGGAGGGTGAACTGAAGGCAGCTGGGAGCAGCTATATTTTACTAAACATAAAATAAGTGTAAGTGCACAAAATAAGAGTGTATTTTTGTCTGCTTTCAGGTAGGGCTCTTAATGAGAAATCTAGTAATTACCCAGTACACCAAAGCCTGTAATATCTTTCTGTTATGTTTTCCAGCTGATGAACTGGCTCGTGTACCAGGGGTGAGCAGCCTTCATGAGGTGCATGTCTGGGAGCTTGCAGGTGGGAAGAATATTGCTACTCTTCACATCAAGTGCCAAACCCCTACCGATTACCAAGATGCTGCTTATAAAATACGGAAGATTTTCCATGATGCAGGGATCCATTCTGTGACCATCCAGCCCGAGTACACTGACCACAAGAACTCCCAGATACTGTGCAGCTCACCCTGCATCTCAAAAGCTTGTGACTCTCAGCTGTGCTGCAGTCAGCGGGAACCTCATCTGGCTAAAACTAATGGCTATACTGAGAAAAATGATAGTTGCCTTTCTGCAGTGCATAAAGACAATGGTTCCAGGAAAAACGATGTTGAAATCCCTATCGAGTACCCACTGGCAGAGGATAGCATTAAAAATGTGAAAAATTGTGATGGCAAATCCATGTTGAGCAGTACCCGGCTTTAGGCAATTCCCCTCTACTCTGCATCATGTTCTCACAGAACAAATGTGTCCTGCCTGGGAAGGGGGTTGTAGCTGAAGCTGATGGGACAAAAAGTTTTCTCTGCTTTAGCTGTAAACCAAAATACACCTAAATAAGGATTCATATTTCCATGAAGTGTGTCCTGATGCAGCCTAAGACAGTTCCTTCCCAAACCATTTGTGAGTCTCTGTTGTTAGACTGAATTGGGGTGTTTGCTGTCTGCACTGATGCTTGCAGTTAATGGCCAGTGGCACTGGGAATGAAAATCTGGCCTTTTCTGCTGAAGTGAGCCATTTGCTGAAAGCCCTGTGGCCAGTTAATGATTCTACTGGGCTGAAGTACTGTATATTTATAAACGACTTCAGTAGAGATGCTTTACTGATCCTGAAACCCCATTTTTGCATAGACAGTTCATGTTTAATACAATGCTTGTGCTTCTGGCCAGTGGAGTCTGTGAATGAAATTAGAGAGGCTAAGGAATATAGGAAATACTTGGGAGTTTTGACTTGCATTATTTTCTTGACTGATTCCTGTATTTAAGGAATGTATTTAAGAGCAGAAGCTGGTCTTGCTTCTCTACTACTGGTGTCCTAGCCTAATCACAGATAAAAATGTGCTTAAGAATAGACTTCTTGTCATGAAAGCAAAGAAATACTTTTAGTATCAGTTCTAGCAAACAGAAACACAGGCAGTCATCCAATTAACTTTTACCTTGTTCACTGCTGTGATTGCAACTCAGTGTTTCTTTTTTTCTCTTGACAACAGAAGGTATCAGAGCCACAGTCTTAATTCATCATTGCACAGGATGATTGCAGTATCTTTAACAATGAGTGTCTGTCATTACTCATGCTGAATAAAGAAGCTAATGTGTTTATTGTGAACAGTTAAAATTCTACAGTTTTACTAGTAAGACATAATTTAATATTGCATTAATTAAGAGAGTCCCTTTAAAATTTTATATGCAGTATTATCAGAGGGAACTATGCACATCGTATCCAGAAGCTTTCAAACATATTTTGCTGTCAAAAGCAGCCTTTCAATGGTATGTGTGGCCTGGGCAGGCTATTTTATTCGTTTATTCAGGATTAAACACCTTTATAAATTAAAAGCATCTTTACTTAAGTGACACCTAAACAGGAAGGGCAAATTGATTTCCTGCCTGGGTTGGGAAAACACCAGGACCTCCTTGTAAGGCTGGCTTGAAAGCAGCCAATTTCTTATTAATAAGGATGATTACGTTAAGTTAATGACTATTACACAGCAGGATATTTTGCTGCTTACAAGATGGTATTTACTGAACCAGTGATTCCAGTCTAAATAGCACATTCTGAGATCCGTAGTTGAAAAGATTCTTGGGCGAATTAATATATTTTATAGCTTTCCATTGTAAGTTTTTATAATATAAACTAAATTATGTGTTAATATAATTAAAAGCTTGATCCTCTAGTCTGATTCTGTTAGCAGCAGAGGCGAAAGCAGCAGGATCTTGCTTGGCAGTTATTGCACAAATTAATGTAAATCAGTAAACATGTAAAGAATTGCTGTGTCTTTTAAAAGTGTGTGGCATAAAGTAAGACATTTCTGTCCTTTTTGTCCTTATTTTCATCTATGATGATGTTATTTACATCTAAACCTTGACATTTAAACAAATATATTTACAGGGCTGATTTTGAGATCTGGCATAAAAGGCTCCCAAAATACCAAAAAAGTCAAGGGGAGAGCTCGCTTCCCAGATACCCTCTAAAAACAAGCACCCTTTCATAATTATGCATTTATGTCTTAAATCAGGTAATTTTTATATGTATATATTATTAAATGGTTGAAGACGGAATGGCAGTGTTGTTTATTCTGGGATTAGGGAAAACAAGTATATGATGTTGGGGCATTTGACAAAATGGACCATCTCTTTGTTCTGCCAGTGTTTGTTAAAACTGTGTTTATCTATTTTTTAAGCTTTTAAAAGTAGTGTAACCCAGAAATACAAGGATGTAACATTCTTAGATGTTTTTCTTGTCTGGTTGAATGTACTGTAATTGTTGCCTGTGAATAAATAGGAAAATACCAGGGATTATAGAAATCTTCAGGTCTGGAAAACAGTCAGATTTAACGTTTGCATTATTACTTAAGCAAGCAAGACCAACAGAGCTATGTTATTGATGAGATGAGCCATGTTTTTTCTGTATAGGGACTAAGGGTATTCAGCTAAGGGTTGTGACCTGGCATCCTTCCTTTTAGTCCCACAATAAAATATCTTTCTCCTTCATTTGAAGCATGCCACAGCTTGGCTGTACGGGGTGGCCCCTCTCTACATCTGTAGAATACACCAGTGTGTATTTTGTACTGGCATATTTCCCTTCAGTTCTTGGCCTATTTCTTCTAATTCACTTGAAGTAGGCTTACCTCATTTCAAAATACAATATATTTCAAGTATCTGCCTGTATCTGTGGGTCTTGTTCTAGATTCAGTTTTGTAGCATACTGCACTGTCATGAAATCTGGCCTCTTTAGCTTTATTTTTTCCTCTCCCAATTCAGTAATGGAACATTTCTGACTACTGCAGGTTGATTGTGCTACTCTGTCCTCTTCCTGTACTCCCTTAGAATTGCGTCATTATGGCATTCAGGTTCTGGGGCAGTGGTTCCCTGTCACTATCTGTAGCAAAACAAATCTGTTTGTTTAAAATACAGGTGACTTTTAACTGGGTATCCAGCTTGTGTGTCCCTCTGATCCAGTCATAAACATCACCTACTCGTATGACAGCAAAACATTTGCTAGCCTTACCAGGTAGTTTTGGAGCAGAAGTGAAATCTGGAATGAATTAACATGGTATTGAATGCAAAAGCACTTTACTGGCCTTCATCAATTGTAGGTCTTTACATAAAGTGAATCAATTTTTTGTTACCTTTTCATCTGTACCGTATGTATGTGCCAATTTGAGTGTTAATGTTTCCCTCCTTCTGTCACTCTCTAAATGCAAGCCTTGACTTAGCATCAGTTATTTTTCTTTACATGGAAGAGCAATTTTTAGAAGCATTGCCTTTGTTTTACAGGTTTTCAGTTGAAAACTTGTGTTCTCTTTTACAGCTGTGTTTTTTTCCTTTTAATATTTTTCATATTCTTTGTCTCTTCAAGAAAAGCAGGATGGCTTTGGTGGCCTTCTGAGCAGGGTGATGTACCCATAGTACAGTTTAGAAATACCTCTTTTGTGTGCTGGTTTAATTTTTGCACTCCGTTTTATTCAAATTCACCCACTTTCTGGTTTTGCTGTGTGCTACACTTTATCATTGCAAACCACTCTTTGACCTTGTTTAGTTCTTCCTATTCTTTCCACCTTCCCTACCTGATTATAACATTTACTGTTTTGAATGCTTCCTTTCATTCTGAACTTCGGAGGGAATATGCCAGCATCCAAGTTTTTCCTGAGGTGAAGATCACCACCCAAAGTCTATGAATGTCTTGATGTGAGCTACTGAAAGGACTATTTTACGTTCTATGGTCTGTGTAGAAGTGTTGTTTAAGTAGTTATCTTGAGATGTAAATATATATATTTATATATATACATTCTTTATAAACAGTCCACATGAACCAACTTTAAAAAAATGGTTGGCTTCTAAACCTAAAAAAGTAAAATGAAATCAATAGGGTTCGGTAGTCATTCATTAACAGCTTAGGGGAAAGTGTGGGTCACTAAATGGAAAGCAGGTAAAAGGGATGTTTCTGAAAAGATCAGTCAAAACCTATGAAGATTTCTATAGGTTCTACCATGAACACTGCTCTAAGTGGAAGCACTTTCTATGTTAAATACTTCATTTGAATAGTGATACCTTGATATGAGGATGTCACTGTGTAAATTGTTACATTTGTGGAGTTGTGTTGCTTGAAAGTTTCCTCCAGTTTTTCTGTTCATTATGTGATTTAAATAATGTGCCAAATTTAACTTCCATGATTGCTGAATCACTGAATTTTAAATCTCACTGTGGTTTTATTAACTATTAGTGAAAGATTACTTATGTACAGTTATATTTTTTTTTTCAAAATGAAGTTTAAATGTCTTGTCAATAAAGTGTATTTTTTAATAAACCTGTTGTTCTGAGCTTGATGTGTGTCAACAATAGGGAGCTTGTGTCAGTTTGGATAATTTGAAGACCTTTGTATGAGTAAAGTTTGTTCTTAACCTGTGGGTTTGCTAATGCTGCAACTTCTGTTATGTGTCTGGAACAAAAGAGGGCAAACACTCAAAAGCTCTTCCTCCGCAAGCAGCGTAGTGCTCCCTAACCTGGGAATAAACTTAGAGTCTATAACTCCAGGATACCAGGCAAGGATGCTGGCTGCAAATGATAAGAGAGCTCTGTGATTTGCACTTCTGGGTTTCATGACATGAGCACATACGTTAGAAATGAGATGATGCTTAGCACTACAAGTTTAGGTGCTGGTTTTAGAGCAGCAGTCAACTTCACCACACTGCCATGGCTTCCGAAGTAATGGTCAGTAAGAAATGCTCCAGTAAATGCTCCATAAGAAATTCAGTTCAGTTTTAGCCAGTATGTTGCCTGTGGTCATGTGCTTGGCTCAGCTTGAAGCTGGTGGGTTGGGAGACAGAACTGAAACATCTATAAGCAATTCCTGATAAATCAAATAATACATATGCTCAAGCGAAACAAAAAAATGATTAAGAACAGAAATGTTAAAGATTCAATCTAACTGTTACTAGTTGTACATGAAAATGATTGCAGAAATGCTGCCAAAGTAAACCTGAAGTTGCTTTTCAGACAGGGGAATCATGTTCTGATTGTTAAATGTTGAAACCCACCACTTTAGGACAAGAAGAAGGGCTGATACATTTGGAGCATGCAGTTTTAATCCTGACATTTAATGAACAATTTCCTCACTGCACAGACTGGCACAAGGCATTTGAAATTTAAGGACTTCTTCTCTACACAGAGGCCCTTATTTTGTACCTGGGTCCTTCTGGAGTGGTAGGTACTTTCCACATTAGAGGGCTGCTTCTGTTCTGATACTTACCTATGCTCGAAGAAGCCACAGAAGTAGGATGATTTTGGGCTGGATGTAGTAAGTTGCATTTTTAGAAACAGCTTCTAAAAAAATTCCATGTGGATTCTTATATGTCCAATATTTATGTATTCAAAATACATAAGGCCAAGTTGAAGGGGGATTGGAGTAACCTGGTCTAGTGAAACGTGTCCCTGCCTGTGGCAGGGGGTTAGAACTAGATGATATTTAAAGTCCCTTCCAATCCAAACCAGTCTGGGATTCTATGCATTCACATTACAATATGTATTTGCAATTACAGTTTGTTGGGCTTTCAAATGTGTGGTTTGCAACCCACACCCTTCTGGAGGAGTATTTTAGGAGGCTGCTATGGATTCCTCACAGACGCATGCACACTATCCATCTGCTGAGGGCAAGTACTTTCTGATCTGGTGGATGCCCTGTTCGGATCAAAGTTGTAGTAAGAAGTGGGGACATAACAATTTTCACAATGGGTGATGAAGGGTCAGTTAACCCCCCTGGCAGATTTAGAATATAGGTGGGATGAAGTTAGCAAGTCTTCCAGTTAGGCCAAGGTGAAGGATCAGTAAACCTGAAAGTAGGAGAAGCTAATGAGTAATTCAGTGGGGATGAGTAAAGCCTCTGTCTTTTCAGGTGCATAAGCTTTGCCCTCTAATGCAAAGGTTGAATTTACTGTCGAATCCTAGCTGTATTTTACATGCAGAGAGTTATTTTTGCCATATAATTCTACAGGGAGGGGCATAAGTGTAATGCTTATTGTCACCTCACCAGAGAAGTCACTTAGAGCAGCCCTGTAGGTTGATGACTGAACTTGTCTTTGCTACAGTGATGCTGATGAAAGAAGCACGTAACTTGGTCAATAGAGATAGCATACATTTTAATAACTGTGAAGCATTACTGACTACCTCTATATTAGTAAATTAATTATGGCTTGGAATATTCCCAGGCACAAGAGACTAGCCAGCACAGCAGAGCTTGCATCTATGCTAGTAAAATACCGTCCACTTCAAAAGAGGGTGACCCCGTGCAGAGGGCCAACTGAGATTAGGTCCTTGACTGTGCCTGGGAACTGCTGGGGAGAGGAGTAACGGCCACAGGCCGCGAAATGCCTGAACAACTTACTAATATGTAATCATGGCTCATCCCCAGTAGCTGTTTAATTTGCAAGTATTGATAAGGCCCTTGGTCCCTGAGCCTTTGTGCTGTTCTGCAAGGCAGATAAAAAAGGAGATGAAGGCGGCGGTGGTTGCTTAGGATTGGGAGTTGAAAGATCTCCGCTTTATCCTCGCCTATGCTGTGCTGCATCATTGTGCTGGGCGAGCTGGAAGGGGAGAGGCTGCCTGGGTCAGCAGTGCAGTCAGCAGATAATGCTATCATCACAGCTTGTTTGCATGGCTCAAGAAACAAAAAGCGTAAGGCAAGTGGCAGGGCCGATACGATGTTGCACTTTGCTTTACCTCCTTCCAGCCCTAGTGCATCTATTTATTTATTTATTTTCAGCATTTGTCCCTGTTTGCTAAAGCTCTCTGTCTGTTTAACCACCTATTGCTGTGGTGTCTCCTCACCTTGTGGTGAGGAGATTGAGACAAGACTATGGCAAGGTGCTTCAGGGTGAAGACAGTATATAAGTCATTGAAATGGCACAGCAGGCCCACAGTCTCAGGTACAGAAAGCTTTGTAGGTGAAGGATTGCATAGTTCAAGAGGTAGAAAACAACCCTTTTTCCAATGTACCTTAAAAATCAATCTTGTAAAAAGCATTTGATGTGGACCTCGGGTGTCATAGTCTGGTGTGAAGTGTCTCTGCCTGTGGCAGTGGGTTGGAACTGGATGATCTTAAGGTCGTTTCCACCCCAAATCATTCTATGATTCTATAAGCTGATCCCCCAAGTTTTAAATTAGGAAATACAACAGGTGATAGAAATTCAGCACAATGAATGCCATGTTTGGTAGAGCAGCACTTGCTTTAATTAGCTATTTCTTTCTGAAATTGCTGTATGAAGCAGGGCTGGCTGCCTTTCTGCATAGCCCAGTTTCCTTTGCCCAAATTGTTCACAGAAAGTGTTTGGAGCACACTTCAAATGTATACACCCAAATGATTTTGGGGACGTCACCATGTGGGGAGCACGGAGCACGTTTCTACTTGTGAACATCTCTGTTGTGTAATTTCTAAGAGTGTTTGGGGGTCAGCCTCAAATTGTCTGGGTGTAACTTGATAAGTCATGACGGAAGGGGATAATCAGGGTCCCCAAAATAACAGGGGGCCTTTGCACAGTAGCAAGAGGAGCTGCTTCCCAGCAGCTGGAGGAGGAAGAGGGTCCTGCTTCTCCCCCAGAGTGGGCATGGAGCGGACCTATGCCTATGCTGTGGCAAGGGAACATGGTGCATCCCCTGGGACAAGCAACTTCACCTGCTGCTGGGGAAGGATTTGCCAAGGTTTTCAGAGGGGGAAGAGTGGGGAAACTGCTCAGTATCCTTAGTGGCCCTGAAACCCTGTTTTCTGAGTACCATTTGTGGTTTCAAGCACAGTTTGAGGCCATCCAGAAGTGGGCAGTGGTGTATACGTGTTCCTTCTGCCTCCTACTCCTGGATACTTTGGTACATGAAGGAAGTTACTTGGAAATGTGTTGAGGCAAAGCCTCAATTCCTGTTGTCTCCAGATGTGAGCTTTTCACTTGTTTGCATTAACCCTAATTTGCTTTGGTGCTTTAGTATCAGAAATATGAAATCTGACCTTAACCAATCAGTTCTTACAGTCACAGTAAGTCCCTCTATCCCTCAATTAACACTGTCTTTCTTCTATGCTAATACGCTGGTGGTGTATGTCTGCACTGAAAAGAAAAGGAAAAGCAAAGGTGGAGATACAGTTCTCCTAAGGGTTATGAAGTTCTATAAATGATGAAATGGATTATGCTTCCTCCTGGTTGTAAAGCAGGGTACTGCTCTATCAAGGAGGAAACTCATTTTGGGTTAGTGTTTGGGCTGGCATGAAGGCATCATTGTCTTTGCAGTTCTTTCTGCTTTGCTAGCTCAAGAAGGAAGGGATTTGGCTCCTGATGGAGGAACATCAAGCAAGCACAAATGTGTTGGATCGAAGGAAGCTCTGGCTATTTTCAACAGCTCAAAATCTGGCCCTGTGTTCTGCTCTTCTCCATGTGTCAGGGAACTGGGCTGCTGGTACAGCAAGGAAGGTTACACAGTGCCTCAGCCATCACTTAAAGGGGATGAAAATGTACTTTTCTGGCTACAATGGGGATCTCCAGGGCTGTGGAGCAGTAAGGCAATGATATCCCCTCCTGCTGACTGTGGCATATGTATCTCTATCTATCTGTCTACATATCTATCTATTTATATGTATATGTTGTTTCTGTCAGAAGTCAAAAGCTTCCGCTAATAATGCTTTATATGCAACCCCCAACTAACACTGATGTTACATTTCCTTTTGAAAGACAAATACCGTCTCTCTTAAGCACTCTGTGTCCTGGCCAAAGAATAATCATGTGAGGCAGCAGCAATGGGAGACCAAGGGGAACAAAGAGGAGCCTTGCTCACAGAGCTCTTTCAAAGTACTTGTTCGCTTGGCGAAGGAGGTCGGCAGCTTGCCTGTGCCTCCTTTGAATCCAGCATCTCATACAGCCCCGTGCCCACTGCTGCAGGGGTAAGGGTCACCTTCTTTGTATGGGACACACATACACACAAAGCAAAGAACAGCGTGGACAAATGTGGCCTCTGGACAAGGAGCTGTAAGGAAGATAGGGATGGAGCATGTCTCATAGGAGGAAGGCTGTTTCAACAGCAAGAGCCAGCAGCACTGGCACTGATGAAATGGAGAAATGTGTTATATTTAAAACACAAACATGCATGTGTGTGTGGTTTTTTTGCATACATACACGTGTATACACACACACATGATACTGACTATATATAACCATATTTATCAGCATTCAGCAAGTGAGAGTGTTTGCTTTAGTCACAGTGCTGTACTAGTACAGCTTGCTGGGTATCCCCAGTATCTTCTATCTGGTATATCCTTCCTGCTTATCACTGTGA